CTTTGCAGCAGAATTGAAGTCCTGTTGTTGCCTGACGTAAGATCCCCCCCCCCCAATTCATCTCCTCTTAAAAAGTGACTTTGTTTCCCCCTCTTCAAAAATGTGGTTATTTCCCTTGAAATAAGTACACAAGAGCATAATGTTTGCTGTTTTATTAAGATATTGGTAGAAGTTGAACATAGTCCTTACCTTTTGTGAACAGCTTTAATAAATAAAATATGGCTAATACATGATTCCTACTGAACTTGTGAGCTATAGGAACAAAGTTGTCAACGGGTCCCAACAGAGTAGTAAAGTCATTTCTATTAAACCAACCCACTTCATTAGTTTTCATGACAGCATAAGTATATTTCAACAGGAACTCAGTAATACACTTGGCATTCCTAGGAATGTGCCATGGTAACGTTTTTAGTAATAAGGGTGAATCTCAGCTGGCTTTCCCCAACCTAGCTTGGTTTAGACTCTCCCTACTTCTAGAAACAAAAAAAGCAACAGCCAAGAATGGTAAGTAAAACAAATCTGTTTACATTTATAAACCAAACCTTCTGATACTTGTATAATACGGTGCTGTTTAATACTGGAAGTTATAGATTAGTGTTTAATGTAATGTTAAAAGTGACTTTGTCACTTGGATGTATTCCTTGACAGTGGCCACATTCACATGGTGTGGTAAGCTCATAAACCACCATGGCTTACTGTACATGAGTGGATTGTGCCCACTTTGCTCCTCTCAACTTATGCTAGCAGGAAACAAATCCTGATCCCTGCTTCGTCAGGGGCCATGATTTATTTTGCTCCCAGCAATCTGTAGCCAAGGTTTGCTCTTGACGTACTGATCATGCTCTATTGAAGCAAAACATGATCCCCGGTTCAAACATAAGACTAAGCTGGGGGTGTGTGTGTCATGATTGGTTTCCTTTCAGCATAAGCAGGGCTGAGACAAAACAACACCAAAAGGTGCTTTCTTGGTAAGCCATTAACTGTGGCTTACTTTCATGTGCAAACTGGGCCATTGGTGCAAGACTTTTAACCTCCAGTTGAAGGTTTTTATTCTGCACAGCCCTAACTCATAGGCATACGCAAAGCTACAGTAGCCTCGCCTTGCTTCCCTTTTTTGCATGAGAATGAGCTACATTTTGGCGGAGCCGGCTGTTCAGGTTCTCCAGAGCTGTAATGAAATTTATAGGTAACGGAAGGGACTGCTTGAATGTAATCTGCATAGTTGCTTTAATTGAATGTTCTAGGGAAAAGAGCACTGTGCCTCTGCATAAATGACAATGGACCACTATGAACAGAAGGCGAAAGGTAATGTTATACTCGATGAGATGGAAGGTTCTAAATTTAAAAGGCATTAGCAAGTGGCAGCTGCTACTTAGGAGTGTCGGCTGCTAAAAGCCACAAGAAGCAGGAACAGGCTCTGCCAAAATAAAGGATGGATATTCTCTTCCTCATATGTCCTCCCTTGCTTTTCTGAGCCAGGAAGTGAGGGGACAAAGAAGGGAGTGCTTAGCAGGTGAACCACAGGAGTCTGCTTCCTTTTGTTGGGGGGAGGAGGGCTGAGTCACATGGAGTAGGCGGGTGTGTGCCTCCCTGGCTTCCAAACAGACAAGGACAATTGATGGCACTTCAAAATATAAATATTTTACTTCTACAACTTGTTAGTGCAAGTGAAATGGATTAATGGCTTGCCGCTCTGCTGCTATTCCATTTCTTGCAATCGGAGGCATTCCTCACAACTCTGTTAAAGCTGGAGACAGGAGACATTAGGAGAGGGATTAAATGAATCCCTTTGAAACTCACAGTGAATAAGCTCACCAGCAGGTTTTGAACAGCCTCAGGGGAGAGGCAGCCTGGAGTCTCCTGTCCTCACCAACTACCACCACTACTACTAGTGTTCCTACACAACTCATGTAGCTGATGCAGATTATGAGAACTTGAGGGCTGCTTCAGCTCTTTATTGGAAAGGTCTCATTATGCAAATGTCACCACTATTAAAATACACAGATTTACAAAACACTTTACAGACAACCAACATTAACAGTTAATAAATACAGTTAGATACCTATATTTTTTGTACATTCTCACCAGCTAAAGGATCAAAGTACAAGATACAGAACACTGAGAATATCATTAATTAAAAAGGGGAGCTTATTGCTTACGTCAGCAAGCAGCAAATAAGGGCACAGGAGTTTGAACTGAAGAGAACTACGTCCTATCACCAGTGGCATTAAGAGAAAAACACACAGCATATCACAAAGCACTGCTTTTTTTTTTTGCCTAGTGTGTAGAATTGAGCAGCTTATATTGGACCAAGAACTACTACTTTTAAATATGTATTCTACCATGGCTGAAGACTTGCCTCACAAATGGATCCTACATACTCTACCACTATGTAATGAAAGATGGACACTTTCTAGTTGTAACAATATTTTGTACTGGGCCACACTAGGAATGGATGGCAGATTCTCTCCTGTAGGATGAACAGGATGAGCAGCAGATAATCCATGTATGAATCCACACATATGGAGTTACACTTCTTTTATAAAAAACGTGAGAGCACACTCTGAGGCTAGTACTTTCCAATTATGACTGCATGTTGGGAAGAGGTCAAAACACATTTGCAACATTTTAGAATTTTGACATGTCTTCAAAGAACTGCACTTTCCCCATAGAAGCACAACTAATTGAGCAGAAGGGCATTGCAGTCTACCTTCTCCCCTGCTATGTCCTCAAGCATGGCAGCAGGAACAGCCTGCTCGTCTGCAGCTCCTCATCTCATTGGTAACACTTGATTTGTAACACAACGCACCTAAGGCTTGCAAATAAGTGGGAAAGTGCTGTTGCTCCTTAATTTTGGTTATTCCCCCACCCCACCCCCGGTGGGTAAAAGCCAAGACCTTTTAGCTTTCTGCACTTGATTTCTAACAGTTTCATCAAGTTTTGTGATGGCCTGGGAATCCGATTCAGAGAGTGAATTGGAGGAATCCCAGCCTGCACAGGAGTCCCCGCCTCCAGGGCCAGCTGAACTGGGGCAGGGTCTTGATTCTGAGGAGCCTGCACCTGTGCCAGATCCTCAGGAGCAGGCACCAGGTGAATCCATTCTGGCTGCAGAGGTGGTTGAGGACTCAGTGCCTACAGGTGAGTCTCCCCCTGGGCCCAGTAACCCTTCAGCCTCTCCTGAACTGCAGAGGCTTAGGGCAGAGAGGCGAAGGGAACTGGTTTCTCCCAGGAGGAGTGTTCGCCTTAAGGCCAGGAGAGGCGGGGCTCCTGGGGGCCGGGACCGCCCCTGGCCTCAGAGAAGATAAAGGCCAGTCAGCCTGGTCCCAGGTTGCGGGAGCAACGTCGTCATTGAAGAGCTGTTTCGGCCAGCATCCAGTCCTGTTCCTCCAGTGTTCCTGTTCCCCGCCCGGCTTCCTGCTTCTGACCTTCCAGTGTTCCTGTCCTCGCCCGGCTCCCTGCTTCGGACCTTGCCTCGCACCTTGTGGACTATTACCAGGCTAGTGACTCAGGACTGAACTTTGACTACGGTAACAGTAACCTTCCCCCCGGAACCAGCACAAGTTTATTGAAGAAATTGAGTTAATAAAAAGCCATTCAGAATAATTACCTAATTCTCCCCAGTCCTTAGGCAAATTATCAGTTGGGGGGGGTCAAAGCTCAGGGGCAGAGCACCCGCTTTGCATACTGAAGGTGCTGGATTCAATCCTAGGGCTAGAAATATCTTCATGCTTGAAAATGATGGAGAGCTGCTGCTAGTCAGTGTAGACAATACTGAGCTAGACAGACCACTGGTCTGACTCGGTATAAGGCAGCTTTCTATGTTCCTATACACTAATGTCAAACTGCATTGGGCAGTGATTCTGTTGAGCTAAAACTTAATCCCCATGGAATTATGTAATGTAACATATTCAGATCTGTGTACATTTAATGCCTTAGTATTTTAGATCATTCAAGTGAATGTTAGCAACCAAGAGACCTCTTCTAACATACTGTCCCTGATTATTCTGCATTTCAGCTATTTAATGCAAAAACTGATTTTATTTATATATATATAGAGAGAGAAGTGTTTTGCTCTTTAGTATGAAGGATGGAGACAGGCAATCATCAAACCCTTCCTGAGCAACTGACAATTAGAGTTCATCTAGTCTCTCTCATTTTACAACTGCTATAGCAAGCTGCCTTCCTCTAGCTTTTCCCCAGTCCCTTCATACTCTGAAAGTCTCTTGCAAGGACCAGACAAATAGCTGAGCCAAACACTACACTGCCATATTACTGTCCCCTCTGAATGGGGAAGGGAGAACTGATGACCAAAAAGTCTGACAAGCAAGTTGCTGGCTCCATCAGTTCACAGGACAACATATTTGAATCTGAACTAGCTTTATATCAGTTTGACACCTGAGATAAATTAGGGATTGGGGAGGACACGGTGGAAAGATTTAACCACTACTATTATTAGATGCAAACAGTTTTAACATTATTACTTTTTTAGTTTAAAAGACTAAAATGTCACTAAGCACCCCAAAAGACTCCAAGCTATTGAAAATTCAATATAGTTTCAACTTTAGCCACAGGAAATGATCTTTAAAAACTACAAAAATTAGCATTCCCTCTTTTTTATATGTTACATGGGGGCATAGATAAGATTAGTCTTAACGTGGATATACAACAGGGGCTAGGAGTGCTCAAGTGCTAGATTCAAACCCCCTATGGCTTTTAATAATGTACCTGCAAAGGCCTGCTGCTTCCACAATGGCTCTGTTAACCTTAAAGAACCACCCCACCAACTACTTCTGTCTTCCTCTTCCCTTCCCTCCACCCCACCTACAAAAACTGGCAGGTTTTAAAAACGAGATCCTTCAAAAAATATTGCTCCACAGACTCATCTCAAACAGGTAACACTTTTTTTTGGCAATCTCTCTTTTGAAAGAATCTCTCCTATTTATTCCATCGTGTCACTGTCAGTATCTAGTTGCCATGAGCAAGATGAAGCTATAGATACGTGTTTGTGTATGTGGGTAAGAGAGAGAATGTGTATGTGACATTGCTTAGAGAGAGAGAGAGAGACTGGCACACCAGCCATTATTTATTTTTTTTTAGACTGAAACACACATTCCTAGGATCTATTTACATGAGTGGTGCATTCCACAATCACATGGTTCTGAAATGCTCACTCTTTTAAATTTACTCCTCATTCTGTGAATGCCTAACCTAAACTATTTGGGGGAGGGGGGCAGGAGAGGGGAATACAAAGGAGCATGCTACTTTGTACACCTCCAGAGGAGCCCAGGGTCTGGTATACAGTGACTCTGCCTTTGCAGCAGGTGGATACTCTTGCCGTGACCCCGGCAACAACTAGAGAAGCCCTGCCAGAGACGGCTTCTTATCAACTTATTTCTACGGCTGTTCACACTGCAAGGTGAGGCCAGAGCTAACTCTTCTGTGGGGGAAAGCAGCCTGTTCTCAAAGAGAAGCATGTGGAGCTTGGGCTTGAGTCTGGCTAGTCGCTGCCACCGCTTTGCATCACAGAAGTGAAGGGGAGAGAAAATGGAAGCTCTTCCTCCCCAAGATTTGAAGTGCTCACCTTCGAGCCTGCTGGAGATGCTGTACTCGTGGGGGCTTGTGGAGCCAGAAGGAAGAGAGGCTAGCTGCTCCTGGAGACTGCTCTGCCCGCCTGCGGGAGGCGCAGGGTCGGCCACTGTCTCGTTCTCTGCTGACACACCCTGACCCAAGGTTGCCCTCTTTGGTTCACAAGTGCTGAACCACTGATCTGAGGACAGGCGTTTTGCACTCTGAAGTTTGCTAGCTCCTATTTTCCTCAGGTTGATATAGCCTGGGTCTTCCAACACGTTGATCCTGGAACCTGCACTCAAGGTAGTTCTGTCTGTGAAAGAATCCACTCTCCCATCGTATCCCAGATCAGCAGGTGCGGAGACCTGGTGCTGAGGCCACGGTCTCTTGCAATCCCCATGGTTTTCTTTATTGTCGCCGTTGTCTTCTTGCCCACCTTGGAAAGAGTTCTCTGTCCACTCTGACTCCTCACTGATGTTTACGGCCGTACTCATGTCCCTGAGAAAGACCACAATGACAGTGATGTTGTCGCTGGAGCCAGCATCTCGAGCTGAAGCCACTAACTTGTGGGCCACCATGCTGCTGTCCCCATTGTTCTCCTTCAGGTGGTCAGCCACCACTTTCACTGCTTCATCAGGGTTCACGGTGTCATAGAAGCCGTCGCAGGCTAAAATGAGGTAGTCTTCCGATCCATCCAGAACTGTGGAGCCCGAGTCCGCATCCCCACAGATGTATGGCTTGTGTTCTGCATCACCTGGAGTAGGTGGGTAAAGAGATCCAGAGAAGATTTAGGCAGCTGTGAAGTCAGGATAGATCAGTGAATTCTCTTTACTTCTCAGCTTTACTTCTCGGCTTAAGGCAGCGGAACTGCTGGAATAGTGAAGGCAGAATGCTCACTGGCTGGGAGACAAGGGCTTGAAACCTCTTGGGTGGGGACTCACTTCTAGCTCTCATTTGGCATGAAAGCCAGAAAACACGAGAAGAGGTGGAGCAAATTTAAAAGGCCTAGGAATCGATTGATGATTCAGAATGCCATCTTTTCTAAGCTACTGGCTCATGGGAGTTTAGACCTCAGTTTGGTAAGAGGCCCCCTTTTGGATTTGCACTGCTTTATGGGGATGAGAGGAAAGCTGTAAATCAAATTGGACCTTGCAAATTCAATGGGGATCCCTGAGTATAAAAAGCCCATTTTGTCTTGTGTTGAGTTTAGCATGCTGTCTTTCTCCCATACTCTGATCATAAAGCACAGCTCTCCTAATAAGCAACAGCTCCCCACCTTCTGGGATGTTGCTGTAGCACTGCTTTTCCAGGAGAGTGGAAAGACAAGTAACTCCTGCATTGGACATGCCCCTGCTTATCACAACATGTGAGCCCTGCACCATGCTCTCTGGTGCAGTCAGAGAGTGCCCCACTCAAGAGACGACTGGCAAAATGCATCTGCTCCTCTACTTATAGAGCCATCTGGTCACACTCTGGTTTAATTGGAAGTGCAATAATCTTGTGCTGTTAATCCAATAAACACCTCAATTATGACTTCAAGATGGACATATTGATTTGGCAAGGGAATTCTGAAGTTGGAGCTGCTTGTCCCCTCATCAGGTATACTCATCCTGAAAGCTTCCACTTTAACTAATACAGCTAACAGCTGATGATATTTTCCTCCATGCATCTGCCTAGTGTTTTATAAAGGCATATCTTTCTCTTCCCAGCTTTCTGAACTGAAAAGCGCCAACCTCTTTGTTACAGGTGTTCCTTATTCTGTACTTCCTCTACAATATTCTGAGATGAGGTGTTCAGTCACCTAGATCTGAAGACAGATTTTCATCCCTATCCCAGTGCTGAATTTGCCTTGTTCGCTACTCCAGCACTCTGAGCAGATGTTTTCACTGGATCTTTCACTGTGATTACAGTATCCCTTGGCTGGGAAGTCACAACCAATTTAGAAACTATATTTAGTCACTAAAACTCATAGGGGCTAATAAGGAAAGTAAATGAAGAAGGAAAAATAAAATAGACCAGAAGACAGGATTTCAGTTTCCTACCAATGGCTCTGGAGACAGACAGACTCCCATTGACTCGCCAAGCCCCAAACCAGACCACGCAGCCTCCGAGGGCCTCAATGCGCTTCTTCTCATCCTAAACCAGAAGGGAACACATAAGCTGGTCAAAGGCTGATGCTGGGGATTCTCCTAAATATTTCAGTGCATGCTTTCTCTCGCTCTCACACACTACAATTTACTTGCTGTGGCAATTTGCATCCATTTCCCTTTGAAGTAGAAATATGTTGGCCCTAAATTACAGTGGTACCTCGGGTTACATACGCTTCAGGTTACAGACTCCGCTAACCCAGAAATAGTACCTCAGGTTAAGAACTTTGCTTCAGGATGAGAACAGAAATTGTGCTCCGGCGGCGCGGCGGCAGCAGGAGGCCCCATTAGCTAAATGGTGCTTCAGGTTAAGAACAGTTTCAGGTTAAGTGCGGACCTCTGGAACGAATTAAGTACTTAACCCGAGGTACCACTGTAATGGCTAACTACAGTAGCTAGTAGGCAACTGGACAGTGAGGGTCTGACAGGACCCAAATCAGAAGAACAGAGGGACTGCCATCATCCATCAGTTGCTTCAAAAGACACATCTTTTTCTTCTGCTTTTCCTGGCACAAAAAACTGAACCATTTGACTATGGTTTGTTTTGGGGTTGTTTTTTTCTAATACTGTTTTACTGTTTATCTTCTTGTGGTGTTGTATTTGTTCCAAAGTTGCTTAGAAATGCTTTTATATAAATGGTGCAGTGACCACCACACCTGTTTCCCTTCCTGTGGGGCTAGAGAACCATCCACTCTGCCATTATCCCAGGCAAGGCTCACCTCACGATCCGGTTTATGAGGTTTCATCAGCTCCACTGCTTGGCCCCCCCTGACAAGCATCACCTGGGAGTCTCCCAGCCAGGCCACATACAGCATGTTCCCTCGGATGAACGTCACAACACCTGTGGTCCCACACCGCAAGCTCTAGGGAGAAAACAGAGCCTTAGTCTTGCTATAGACAGGCAGAAGCTGCTTGGCTGCTTCAGGCATTTTCAAACACACATCTCAACTGCAGCTAGACTGTGAACTAAGCAGGTGGTTGGATTGATGGACTATTTACTGTCAGATGGGCAGCATATAAATAAAATTATTATTATTGTATATTTGAAGCCTATGGAGTAACAAGCAAAGATTTTACCAAGTTGCTCTAATGCATCAATGTGCACTTCTGAGTTGTGCCTCTGCATATGCTAGCACATTAACGAAAACACTGCAGAGAATGTGAAATAGCCCCAATAAAGTGGAAGGAATTCTCTGAGGACTCTTTCCCCCAGCTTGAATCACCCTTCCACTGAAACACACAGCCTTTAGAAGATTTGGAAGATTAACCTGTACCACAAGTTGCTCCAGGTAACAACTGTTTATTCTGTGGCTGGCTGCAGAAGTGCTCCCTGTTGCAGATCTCATGGCACAAACAGCTGCCCCAGGAAGAAAGCTTTGTCCAAACCCCTTTAATCCCCACTCCTCAGGGGAGGCCATTTAGATAGGCTCAAATAACTGTTGAGCAGATTTTTCAGAATTAACCTCCACCCTCACCCGAATTAATGTTGCTCATTCACCTCTCTGGCTGCCTTCTGCACAAAGCGTTCATCCGTCACTTGGAAGGCTTTGCACAGTGCCTCTGCAGGGTCATGCTGGAACATCTCTTGGTGCACCAGGTTCACGTGGAGGTGGATGGAAGCGTAAATGGCAGCATCCACTCCTCCGTGGCCATCAAATACTGCAAAATAGGCCTGCTCCTCTTGATCCTGCCAAGAGAAGGGCATTGATATGATCTGAGAACGAGGCTGAGAAAGGCCACCAACCTGGATAGTTTTAAAAGAGGATTAGACAAATTCATAGAGAAAAGGGCTATCAACGGCTGCTGGCCATGATCTGCATCCACAGTTGGAGGAAGCAATGTTTCTGAATACTAGTTGCTGGAAACCACAAACGGGGAGAGTCCTCTTGTGCTTGAATCCTGCTTGCTGGTTTCCCACTGGCATCTGGCTGGCTGCTGTGAGAACAGGATGCTGGACTAGATGGGCCACTGGCCTGATCCAGGCTCTTCTTATATTCATCAAATAGCACAGGCAAACAGCTTCAGCTGCTGGCATTTTAACTGGGGTTGGGGGACAAAAGCCACAGCTAGGTGACTTGACTATTCTGCAGCCGACAACAACCGATTAAGTGGTTGCAACAGGGTTGCTGGTTTGGTGATGTTTCTCTGTGGACAGTCATTAGCTACATCGACATCACTAAGCTTATCTGTGGGTACAGCAAGTGCCAATTTCTTTCTGTCTCAGAACACACCAGGGATCTGTTGGCTCTTGTCCCACTTGAGGTTTGATAACTGTGTCCTAGCTGCCTCCCATCCATTTTCCTTTCCTCAAAAAGCTCTTTACCTCAATGTTGAAGAGGGTGTTGAAGTCTGGAATGCAGACGTGTTTGTCTTCCATCTTGCGGCGCATGTTCTTAATGGCATGAATGGATGTTTCGTAGTAACGGTGGGGCTTTGGCTGGAGGGGAAAGTCCTTTACCCAGCTGCTGCAAACCTCATGGAGTTTGCTGAACACTGTACGAGCCAGCTTCACTGTTTCTACCTCTAAGAGACCGGATACAAGAGAAGAGAAGAGTGGACATGTGGTCTCTGCTGAAATAAGAAGCATCATTGTGCTGACCAGGAACTTCCAGTGGTGGGGTGGGAAACATGTGCCCCCCCCCGATATTGATGGACTCCCAGCTTAGTCCAGCAACATCTGGACAACCCCAGGTTCCTCACCCCTAAGCGGATAACCTCTTTTCTGTCTATGTTTTATTGAAATTTTCAAATGTATCAACACTATGTCAGGTGCTTGTAGCAAACAAAACTACATACTAATTTCCAGTCCCACTCTACAGATCGTACGCAGAGATCCCTGTACACAACTAGCGAGGTCCCCAGTAGTATTTGCACAGTCTACCTTCCGTTGTGCTTTCATGATCTTAAAATGAACCTTAAGTAGGCATGATTTATCCACCAAAAGTAGCCAGGGGAAACTGCATGCTTTTGTCACTTGACAGAAGTAACCTCTAATCTAACTTTGTAAATAAGTCCAAAAAAGTAGTAGTCTGGGCAGCAGGGGGGAGGGGATTACATGTTTCCATGGTGGCTGCAGAGGAGGACAGAGTCCATCCCGCTGCCAGCATGCTTATTTGCCTGCATATAATTCCTTGTTAGCTATGGACCAGGTGAGCTCTCAAACACAACGCTGGGGTAATGAACAATTTGGTGTGATGGGTCAGAACATGAGCTATCAAACCAAACACTATGATTCAAGTCTGCTTCTAGCCACTTAGTTCATTTATCCAAATTTATTTTCCAATCTGATTTTAACCAACTGCTACATAATTCTGAACCTGTAGGATTAGCAATATGTCTTTTGGGTTGCATCTCAGCTGCAAAACACTGACCAGAACCAGCTGTCTGGTGTCTGCCAATCCTGAAGCAAATAGTAAATCAGGCACACTTCCTTGGCAGCTCTCCAGCCTGATACATCTCTAATGTAGTCACCACTGAGGAACCAGTTGCTCATTTCCATTCTCCTCACTTTCTAGCTCCAACCCCAATGGGGTTTCCTGGCAGCAGGTAGTGAATATTCCGACATCAAAAGTCATCAGAGCAAACCACATGGTGATTTGCCCGCTCCTCTAGTCTAGGCAGTTGCCACCCCCACAAGTGAAACACCACATTGGTTGCAGAGCTTCCCCACCCGATACCCCGGAGGAAGAAGGCACTGTCTTTCCTGCAGCTCTGCACATTTCAGAAAACCCCTCTGAAGGAAGGTGCCCATTTGCTGTGCTGAAACTTTAAACGCAGCCCCCTGTGGATAACACACACAGTGTTAGCATCATCAATAATTACTGCTTCAGATTTTTTTAAGAAAAGAGCCCTCAACAGGCTATCCACCCCCGTGCAGCTGAAAATTACTCATCAATCGTTAATGTTGCAGTGCCAAGCTAGGGCTGAGTCAGCTGTCATCCTGCCTATGTCATGCACCATTTCATCTTCCCCCTGCTGCCTGGGAACCATCAGGGCTGGAAGTGCTGCTTAATTGCATCAGTTACAGAGGGAGACCCGGCCCAGCCATTTTACCCAACAATGGGAATTGGCTAGCTGACAACTGCTGCAAAAACGGGACATGTGAAGGAAGGAAAGCAAATTTGTGACCCATTTCCAATGGTAGATTTGCATATTCTTTTGACAAAATTCAAAGCTGCTGGAGTGGTTATGCGGCTGTTTGCAACTGAAAGCTGATGAGTTCATTAAGCTAGCTGAATATTGCTTGGTGAGGCTGAATATTCCTTGGTGAGGTATCTGAAGAAGTGTGCATGCACACGAAAGCTCATACCAAGAACTAACTTAGTTGGTCTTTAAGGTGCTACTGGAAGGAATTTTTTTGTTTTGAATATTCCTTGAGTTCAATATAAATATAATACAAAGTATTAAAATCAATATGAAACAAGGATTGTGATTATGCCATCATTAATTCAGTTGAGACTTGTATAACTTTCAGGTTCATTCCTAAAGCCATCAAAAAAAGAGAGGAAGGTCAAGGCTCTCAGAAGAAGCCACATGGTAACTCGCTCAGTCTTCAGGAAGTCCTCCTAAGAACCTCCCATTCTTTAAGAATCCTTTTTGTATTTTAGAAACTAGCTTAAGTAATTTATGGAATCACCATACATTTATAGTGCAGAAATGCTTCGGAGTTCCTCTTCTCAAAACAAAGCAGGACTTATTTCCAACATACAAATTGGAAATTAAGGCTCACAGCTTGCCTTAAGTCACCAAGAAGCTGTATGCCAAGGGAGATATGAAATCCCAGCCTGCTCAATCCTGTATCTGAGCCACTGCCCTCTGCATATGATTCTGCCACAGTCACTGGTGCTGACCCATGTTCTCATTCTGCTAACTGATATATTAGCGTGTTGGGCTCTGTACATTACAAGCTTAAAGACATTCTAAATGGGGCAGCTGCAAGGAATTTCCAGCTCTCTCAAATATTCTGTGTAGAGTGATTAGTTTGAAAAATGTCAACATTTCCTTGGAGACTGTCAAATATTTATGCAAGTTTTAACAGATCTCAATTTGGAACTAATGAGGGCTGCTCAGACAGAACAATGACAAATCTGCTTCATTCACCTGCACAGGATTGGGAAAGGCAGAAAGACCTACAAATGAGGGCAAAGTATAGGCAGTATTAGCCTCTGCTGTAAATAACACATGAACTTAATTTTTTATATTTTAAGCAAATGCAAAGGAGGGAAGGATGACAATATATTTTCCAGGCTGAACAACAAACACCCTGTCAGCTTCTCCTATGAGATGCTATCTTTCATTGTAACAAGCGTTCTGGGGAGCCCGCAGAGGGAGCTTAGTCAGCACAACCCAGAATGAATTACAGCATAGGGCTGGAGGATGGAAAGTTTTGCTGCATCATAAATACAAACAAGTAAAAAGGGAAAGTTTCTTTTGCTTTTTAAAAGATTGCCTTTGAAAAGAAAGACATTGTGTTGCAAATGTCACAACAACAATGATCCCTCTGAAATTCTCCTGAATTTTCTGGGGAGGTGAGAAGAGAATAATGTGTGGAAAAAGAAGAAACACAATATATCCCTTAGAACAGCCTAGGACAGGGCTCCTGAAATAGTCACAATGGATGCCACCCCATAAACAACTGTCCAAAGGTAAGATGCAAATCAGAGGATTCTGCTTGCAATGCTGTTCCTGTTCTTTGCTGGGGGGGGGGGCAAGTTAAGCATCATGCTCCATGGCATCAAAACCAAAAGGAGTGGAGAGACTCGGAGTTGGTAATTAAGCAGATGGACTGACATTTCATCATGTTCTGGGATTTTATTTATTTCATAACATTTATACACTACTTGACTGCAAAAACCTCAAAGTGCTTTACAAAAAGGTACTGTATATCAGGCACTTACGTATGATCCCATCGGGGCTATCCTCATGCTTGGGCAAGTAATGTGCCGAAAGATCACTCTGGAGGACTTCATCAGCTGTCGCACGGGCTAAAGCAGCCGCCAAAAATGAAGGGCAATTACTGGAAGAGAAAATAAAATTGGGAAATCATTTTTCTGCTAATAAGGTAATTGGCAAGTTCCACAACACAGAATCACACAGGACAATACTAACTAAAATAGGAAGGTACATTTTGCCCCCAAACTGAAAACAAATAGTACTAGTCCTTTGTCTCATCTTTCCTAAGAAGAACTTCGAAAGAAAAAGCTGGACTTTAAGGGCTGGTCTTTTTCTTTTGAAAGGCTGCATTGTTCAGCTTGCTCTCTTGGTTACCCTCCCCCAAAATCGCCACATAACCCACTGCAGAGCTAGATCACTAGCATACTTTTTTTCTTTTTGGTGTTACTGGCATGGGCAAATGAGATCTAATGGAGAAGAGTGTCCAAGACTCTCAGATGTGAACCAGCAAGTCCACAATGCAAAACTCAGTTGCTTTTAATGCACTAGGTGGCCACTAGGCAAACCACTATTCTTTCAGCAATCCCATCTGCAAGTATTTGGATACCACTACTAATTTCAATACTGAATTAACAGGGTTATAATAAGTATTAAGGCTGTAATAATAAATGAGGGGCAATCTGAATACTCCACTACTGATTCTAAGCATCAAATGTTATCCTCAGCGTATGCACATCTATTTACTGCAATCTTTCCCTTGGAGTAAGATCTGCCATATGTTCCAGTCTGCTTAGAGGTAGACGTGGACCTACTAGAAAGATTCCAACATGGCCACAAGTACAACTCTGCACAAATCTGCACGAAGTACATATCTTATTTATTATGGTGTGTAACACTTTGCAGCCTAAACACAAGTTTTCCCTTATAGCAACAACATGGAAATTGAAACAGGGGTTATGGTAAGATAGAGAAAATCTCTGTCCAAATGTCTTAGAGCTCAGGAACCCACCCCTACCCTGACACCTTACACTCTTGAGTAGTAACAACCGTGGCTTTGCACCCATTAGAATCATTTGAAGCTGCCATATGCTGAGTCAGGTCACTGGTCCATTTTGCTCAGTACTGATGACACTGACTGGCAGCAGGTCTCCAGGAATTCGGAGAGGAAGTCTTTCCCAGCCCTACTTGGAGATGCTGAGGACTGAATCTGGGAATCTGGCACAATGTAGGTGCACTACCATTGAGCTACAGCCCTTCTTAGTCCCATTATAAAGCCACTTTACTCAGTGCTTCCCAGATGATTGCTTTTGCCAACAAGCAGCCTTTTGAAACTGTAAATCTGGAGTGTCATTACATAAAGAGATTTATAACTTAAGTGCATATGCTAAATCTCCTGGCTATTTCAATTTTTAGCATTTCATGTTTATGTAAGTTACCGTATTTTTCCATGTATAAGACTACCCTTATTTTTTTGAACCCAAAATTAAGAAAACAAAACCCTAAAATAGAAGTGAAAATCTGGATGATCTGCGGTGGCAGGTTTATCTTTTTGGGGGCAATCTCCTTCAAAGTTTCCAGCATGGGGTGCAGAAGCAAAGGCAGCAGCATGCTCTCCCTCGGTGGCAGCTGCTGCTGCGGGGAAGCGAGGTGAAGGAGGCTCCCAGGCAGGAGAGCTGGGGGAAGGCAGCGCCCACTCTGTGCCAGGCCAGGCCATTGAGCAAACTGAGCTGAGGAAGGTGGTGAGTGGGCTGGGGCAGGCTGGGAGTTTGAGAGGGGAAGGGGGGGGAGAGAGAGAAGGGCAAGGAGAGGTAGCTGAGGCAGCCCTCAGCAGTGGCGGTGGCAGCTGCTCTTGCTCCGGTGGTCGAACCAGCGGGGGCTTCAGGAGCCAGTCGCCAGCATGCAGCCCGGAGGGGGAGGAGAAAGGGGGGACGGCAGCAGGAGGGACCACCTCAGCCCGCCCAAGCCAAAATCCTGGATATATGCTTAAATATTTAAAAAATCCCCCTGGATGCCCATGTTCCATGTACAAGACGACCCCCAATTTTTTACTTTTTTTTATTTAGCCAAAAAACTCGTCTTATACATGGAAAAATACGGGACTTAAACATAGGGTTAAAAATAAAATACCAACAATATCCACCAAATGATATCCTGTCAAGAGTCAAGTTCTAGCCCTTTAACTTAAATGCCATCAACACGAGCCCTTTCTCAGCATCAGCAGTTGTGCCGACTACCCACGCAGTGACTTCAAAGCTCAGTAATACGCACACTAATGAAGCACGACTAGCATGGGATATTACAGAGTCTTTGGGTTGGTTGTTCCTGGCACTAGGCAAATCCTTGGATACCATTTAGCACACAGCAAGATGCTGGCTCTCCACATCCATCAGCAAAAATGAATGCACTCTGACATGCTCTTCCCAGCTCATTTCCAGCATGCTCAAAATGCAATCACAGATTTATAAAATGAATCGCTTTATTTAGCTGAGGTGTATCTGTGTGTACATATTTACAATGAACTCCTGTGTCCCTGAAAACTATCACAGTTTGTTGCTATTTCATCTCATGCATGCTGTGTTAAGAACTGTGATAGACTCAGGAGGCTCTTGAGAAAAGGGCTACAAATAAATCAACAAAATAGTCAACAAATAAATATATGTAGCCACCCATCCACAAATCTGATGTAAAGGCAAGCCAAATTATAAAATCTGAATGTATAAATTAAGCAGTGTGTGTGTGTGTGTATGTGTGTGCGCGCACACACACACACACACACACACACACACACACACACACATCCTGGGTGGCTTTCATACTAAAGTAACAAAACCTGATTATTAAAAATACAAAAAGGAACAAGGTTTTAATGACCCGATCCCATTCCCTCTTGTGTGAAGTCTTCTCCATTAGTCTCTCTTCCTTCAAAGCAGCCCACAAAACCCCAACTTTTGTATTATCCCTTGATTACACCCACAGCTAGCTATCCTCAACTGCAACGAAATCTAAACATGCTACACTTTCTCTCATTCATCCCTGCTTGCTCTTGCCTGTCCCTCTGTTCTCTCCTTTCTGGCAAACTTTTGATTGTAAGCGTGTTTGGAAGCAGACCTGCCTTATACCTACCATATATAGTGGAATACTAAAAAAAATAAAAAGTGCAGAGCCCTGTTCATACAGGTAGATGACCTGAAGGGTCTTTTGAGAAAAGAGCAAGGAGCAGTAGGCTTCCTTAGGCATTTAAGGGGGCCTACCGCTCCTTGTTCTTTTCTCAAAAGACCCTTCAGGTGCCACAAATGCCATTTTCTCCTCATTTGCCTGTCGACTGGCAATGGTGGTGGTGCGTGGGGAAGGCAATACACCATTTCCTACTGAGTCACATGCTCCTAAAGCTGCAAGTTGCCCCTTGCCAGTTCAGAATATGTGGCATCAAAAATAAATGTTTTGGCAGAGAATATATGCTATTTGAGAACAGTCACAGTTCAGGTCATTATGGAAAGCTAAACTGAGGATCAGGCCTAGACAGCATCTTGAGAAGTAGAGACGTCACCTTGCCAACAAAGGTCCGTATAGTTAAAGCCATGGTTTTCCCAGTAGTGATGTATGGAAGTGAGAGCTGGACCATAAAGAAGGCTGATCGCCGAAGAATTGATGCTTTTGAATTATGGTGCTGGAGAAGACTCTTGAGAGTCCCATGGACTGCAAGAAGATCAATTCTTAAGGAAATCAGCCCTGAGTGCTCACTGAAAGGACAGATCGTGAAGCTGAGGCTCCAGTACTTTGGCCACCTCATGAGAAGAGAAGACTCCCTGGAGAAGACACTGATGCTGGGAAAGATGGAGGGCACAAGGAGAAGGGGGCGACAGAGGACGAGATGGTTGGATAGTGTTTTCGAGGTTACCAGCATGAGTTTGACCAAACTGCGGGAGGTAGTGGAGGACAGAGGTGCCTGGCGTGCTCTGGTCCATGGGGTCACGAAGAGTCGGACACGACTAAACGACTAAACAACAACAACAAACTGAGGATCAGGATAGAGCAAGGTATGCCAAGGGTAGGAAGCTACCTTGTAGGAGACCAAACTGTTGTTCTTCTACACTGGTACTGTCTCCTCTGACTGGCAGCTGCTCTCCAGGGACTCTGGTAGAGATTCTTCCAATCTGACCCCTTTATAAAGCTAGAGGTGGCAGAGACTAGGGACTTTCTTCATGCAAACATTTTCTCTACTAATGAGCTATAGTTTTCCACCCTATCACAAAAATGAAATTGAAATCCTCCCATGATTTTTAAAATGGTTATTTTCCATTAGCATTACCAGAAAATAACCATTGAGATGCAAGTGACTGGGTTTTGCCAACAGCTACCTATGTGGGTCTGCTTAGTCCACACCTGTGAAGCTTGCACACTTGTATCTAGCCAAAATATCGAGCTAATACCCTGACAACGCTGGCTTCAACAAAAGCCACTCAGGGTGTTATTAGATAAATTAGATGGTTTAGTATATTCTTCTGACTCTTTGGCAATGCAAGCACTTGGCACAACACCCACAGCTGCACTCCTGTACTCCTGGGAATAAAGCCACTGAACTGGAAGGCAGGCAGCTTCCATCAATTAACTTTAGAGGGAAACAGTCTGAAATAGGCTCATGTCACCTTATTACATTTGTCTGGGCTAATGGCTCCATGTAACATCAGAGAGCCAGTCAGAGAGTAAGGAAGAAATCTCTATAAAAAACACTTATTCTATACAGTTCTATTTCTGTTCTAAATTTAATACAAAAGTTACCAATCCACCAAATTCGTAAAACAGTCATTCGACAATTTTGATGGGCAAGATAAAGGGGGGGAAATCTCCAGGAAAGCTCCCCTTCCTGCTCTTCTAATAATACCAACAGACGGCCACAGAATTAATTGCCTTTGACATCTGTACATTGCAAATCGTCTTAGAGAGGCTTTCCAGGACTGCAGTGCAAGCAGGGAAGTGATCAGCTGGGGCAGTCCCTCTGCTTCTGACTAGTAACCATCGGAATCTCTTTCCAGAGGCTTTTGTTAAGGAACCTTAACTGGATTGCTGTGCGCTGCCAGCCAAGACTAGACAAGAATCTGACTGCTAAACAGTGGAGGAGATGTC